AGTATTTAATCCTAATAACTTGAAACCATAAAACTCCTAAAAGAAAACATAGGGGATAAGGCTCCTTGACATTGGTGTTGGCAATACTTTTTAAATTTGACACCAAAAGCAACCAAAGCAAAAATAAACATGTGGGATTACATCACACTAAAAAAAAAAAAAAGTATGCTCAGCAAACGAAACCATCAACAGAATGTAAAGTCAGACTATCAGATGAGAGAAAATATTTGTGAACCACATAGCTGATAAGGGGTTATTATCCAAAACATACAAGGAACTCATACAACTCAATAGCAAAAAAGAAAATAACCCAATTTAAAAATGGGCAAAGAACCTGAGTAGACATTTTTTCAAAGAAGACATACAAATGGCCAACAGGTACATGAAAAGGTGCTCAACATCATTAATCATCAGGAGGATGGCAATTCAAACCCCGTGAAATATTACCTCACCTGTTAGGATAGCTATTATCAAAAAGAAATGCTGTCCAGGATGTGGAGAAAAGAGAACCCTTGTACACACTGTTGTTGGGAATGTGAACTGGGATAGCCACTATGGACAACAGTATGGAGATTTTGCAAAAAATTAAAAACAGAATTTACCATATGGCCCAGCAATCCCACTTCTGGGTACATATTCAAAGGAAGTGAAACCATTATCTCTAAGTGATACCTCTACTCCCATGTTCATTGCAGCATTAGTCAGAATAGCCAAGGTATGGAAACAACCAAAGTGTCCGTCAACAGATGAGTGGATCAAGAAAATATTATAATTATATATATAATATAGAATATTTTTCAGTCTTTTAAAAAAATAAAGGAATCCTGTTATTTGTGACAACATGAATGAGTCTGGAGGGCATTGTGCTAAGTGAATAAGCTAGTCAGAGAAAGGCAAATACTGCATGATATCACTTCCATGCACAATCTTCTTTAAAAAAGGGGGGGGGGAGCAAACTCATAGATATAGAGAATAGAAAAATGATTGCCAGGAGTGGGGAGGTGAGGAAATAGGGAGAGTTTGGTAAAAGGGTAACTAATTTTAGTTTTAAGATGAATAAGGTCTGAGGATGTAATGTACAGCATGGTGACTATATGTGATAATACTATATTGCATAACTGAGATTTGCTGAGAGTAGAACTTAAATGTTCTCACCCAAAAAAAAGAATTTTTAAAGGTTACTATGTCTGGTGATGGATATGTTAACTAACTTGATGAAAGAAATTTTTTCATTTCATATATACACACACACACACACATATCTCAAATCATTACATTGTACACTTTAAATATCTTACAATTTTATTTGTCAATCACATCTCAATAAAGCTGAAAAATGGTTTTCTCTTATTTTTAATTAAAAAAACAGATATGCAGAAAGTATTAAGTCACGTTTCCACAGAATATATTTCTGATTCTAGGAATCACAATTTTAAAAAAGTTGGCCCTGGCCAGTTTTGCTCAGCGGTTAGAGAGTCGGCCTGCGGTCCAGAGAGACCCGAGTTTGGTTCCTGCTAAGGGCATGTACCTCAGTTGCAGTTTGTCCCTGGCCCTGGTTGGTTGTGCGGGTGGCAGCCACTCGATGTGTCCCTTTCACGTCGATGTTTCTCTCTCGCGCGCGCTTCCTCTCTCTCCCTCCCACTCTATCTGAACAAAAAAATGGAAAAATGTCCTCAGGTGAGGATAAAAAAAAAAAAAAGTTGCCCTGGCCGGTTTGGCTCAGCGGTTAGAGAGTCGGCCTGCAGTCCAGAGAGACCCGGGTTCGGTTCCCGCTAAGGGCATGTACCTTGGTTGCAGTTTGTCCCCGGCCCTGGTTGGGTCGTGTGGGTGGCAACCACTCGATGTGTCCCTTTCACATCGATGTTTCTCTCTCTCTCTCTCTCTCTCTCTCTCTTTCTCTCTCTCTCTCTCTCTGTCTCTCTCTCTCTTCCTCCCATTCTATCTGAACAAAATATCAAAAAAATGTCCTCAGGTGAGGATAAAAAATAAAATTAAAAAAAACTTTAGCCCTGGCCTGTTTGGCTAACTGGTTAGAGTGTCTGCCCGCAGACCAGAGAGACCCGGGTTCAGTTCCTGCTAAGGGCACGTACCTTGGTTGCAGTTTGTCCCCAGCCCCGGTTGGGGTCATGTGGGTGGCAACCAGTGGATGTGTCTCTCACATCGATGTTTCTCTCTCTCTTCCTTCCTCTCTACCTCCCACTCTATCTGAAGATAAATGCAAAAATGCCCTCGGGTAAGGATAAAAACAAAACAAAAAAAAACCTTAGAGAGTCCCAAAATTCCTCTAGCCCCTTCTGGACTAGTCCAGTTTTAACTAGGTTCCTTCCTATCCAGTCCTCTTGGCCTCTGGGCACCTTCTTTTCTCCCCAGCATGAGGAGATGATGCACCAGTTCATTTTCTTCTGACCAAAGAAATGTGACAATTCACCTCCTTCAAAAAGTTAAGTCCTGCCCTGGCCAGTTTGGCTCAGCAGTTGGAGTGTCGACCTGCGGACCAGAGAGTCCTGGGTTTGGTTCCTGCTAGGGGCACGTACCAAAAAAAAAAAAGTTAAGTCCTTGCCCTGGCTGCTTTGGCTCAGCAGTTAGAACATCAGCCCACGAACTGAAAAGTCTCGGCTTCGATTCCCGTCCAGGGCACGTACCTTGGTAGCAATTTGGTCCCCAGCCCTGGTGGGGGTCGTGCAGGAGGCAACCAATCAATGTGTCTCTCTCACATCAATGTTTCTCTCTCTCTCTCTCTCTCTCTCTCTCTCTCTCTCTCTCTCCCCACCCACTCTATCTGAAGATAAAATGGAAAAATATTCTCGGGTGAGGATTTAAAAAAAATAAAAAGGAAAAATAAAAGTTAAGTCCTTTCCTGAATTTCAGGTGAAACAGACACACGTTGTTCCCAAGTGACTTGCAAGGCAGTATGATTGACACCTTTTAAGGCACAATAAATGATTTTCTAGGCCTTGGTGATGAGCCCTTTCCAGCCCTGAAGTCTCTGATGATGATTCATTTCTAAACCCTCCCTGCCATTCACCCAGGGAAATGATACTGGGGTAGAATTAACCATGCAAAAACCACACCCATTCCACTGTACAATGCAGCTGGGATGAGAGAATTCTTTCACCTACACCTCAGCCTATCAGCAGGAGCAGAACCCAACTAGACTGAAGATTCTCTCCGCTGGGGGTGGACTTCTTTTTTCTGTTACTTGTCAGATTCTATTACCCAGTTATGAGAAAGAAGGAAATTTCTACATCATGAGCGTGTTTCTTAATCTTAATATTTTTCCAATTCTTTTGTTGTTGTTAATCCTCACCCAAGGATATTTTTCCACTGATTTCTAGATACAGTGGAAGGAAAGGAGTGAGAGAAGGAGAGAGAGCTAAATATCAATGTGAGAAAGACACATCGATTGGTTGCCTTCCACACCACCAGACCAGGACCAGGGATCAAACCTGCAACCCAGGTATGTGCCCTGGATCAGAATCGAACCCAAAACGCTTCTGTCTGTGGGCTGAGGCTCTAAGCACTGAGCCAAACTGGCCAGGGCCAATTCTTTTTTTTGCTAGAGAAATTCCCCTCCTCCCACCCAAAATACTGCAGTACAGGGTACAACGTCAATTCCATTGCGCATGTAATGACAGGCAGGTGGGGGAAGGGCATTCAACTTAATACAGTTAAGAAATAATGTAAATGGCCCTGGCCAGTTTGGCTCAGCAGTATGAGGGTTAGCCTGCAGACCAAAGAGTCTCCGGTTCGTTTCTGGTCAAGAGTACATACCTTGGTTGCAGTTCGGTCGGGGTCATGCGGGAGGCAACCAATTCATGTGTCTCTCTCACGTCTATGTTTCTCTCTCTCCCTGGCCGGTTTGACTCAGCGGTTAGAGTGTCACCCGTCGACCAGAGAGTTCTGGGTTTGGTTCCCACTAAGGGTACGTACCTCGGTTGCAATTTGTTCCCGTCCCCATGGGGTTGTGTGGGAGGCAGCCAGTTGATGTGTCTCTCTCACATCGATGTTTCTCTCTCTCTTCCTCCCTCTCTCCTTCCTGCTCTATCTGAAGATAAATGCAAAATGTTCTCGGATGAGGATAAAAAAAATAAAAAATAAAAGACTAGTCTCTATTCTGTTATTTTTCATCACTAATCATTTTGAGGGCAGGAGTTTTGTGGGATTTTTTTTTCCCCATTCCCTTGAAAAAAATAGAAGGGAGAGTTTTGGGTTTATCCTTACAGGGACTTGGCTGTAATTTCTTGATATAGAGTTCAATCCAGAGATAACTTTTATTTTTATCCTCACCCGAGGACATTTTTCCATTTTTTGTTCAGATAGAGTGGGAAGGAGAGAAATGGGAACAGAGAGAGAGAAACATCGACATGAGAGAGACACATGGAGTGGTTGCCACCCACACGACCCCAACTGGGGCCGGGGACAAACTGCAACCAAGGTGCATGCCCTTAGCAGGAACTGAACCCGGGACTCTCTGGTCCGCAGGCTGACACTCTAACCGCTGAGCCAAACCGGCCAGGGCCAGAGATAACATTTTTGCTTGACTGATTAATTGACCGAAACCACCAGGAAAGCAGAAAAGAACATGCTGATTTCTTTTTTTCTTTTTTATTAAGTCATAATATTGTATTATACAAATGAGTATTAAAGGAAAATTAATGTTCAGGTAACATTGAAACAATTTATATGTCAAATGTTTATACTTAAACAGCGAATTCTAACTGTTATGTGGACTTCTTGATGAGGTCAGGTATGTGTAATGAGTTTCAAAACCAGAATATGGTACCTTGTATTGATGATGTTTGTGCTAATCCATAATATTCAGTACATTTCAACTGGAAGAAAAGAGAAAAGCTGAATTCCCCATTTCCATGCCATTTAAATATTAGGTGCTAGAAATATATATATATATACATATATATATACACACACACACATATGTGTGTGCATGTATGTGTATATGTATATGTATGTATGTATGTTAATTCCATGACACAACAGCCCTCTCATCACACTCTCCTTCTGTGTGCTGAGGTCTTGATGTGGAATAAGGTAAGTCAGCCAGGACTGGGTTATAAACCTGCTTTATTACAACTAGATAGTAGACATTGAGAATGATAAAGGAAGTGGAACTTTGAACAGATAAAGGGGAAGCAAAACATCAAGGATATGCCCAGTAATAAATTTCAGAGTCAGAAATGGAACACCAGACAATCATCAGGAAAGGGGACTCCCTGTGGAATAGTGCAAGAGAGCAGTCCCCTTCCCATGTTGTTATCCACAGATTTAGACCACACTAAATGACCAACACAATGTCATGATTAAACACTACCTCCAGCCGTGTATGCCTATACCCAAGTTCTATTTAAATCATAGTTCTAGGTCTTCTCTCAGTCATGGTGAAATAATGGGAATATTGTGAGGAACAGAAAGCAACAGATTGGTCCAAGCCCTTGGAGGGGCTGGTGGAATACGTGTGGATTAGTTCATACTAGGGGCACTATTTTCCTGCATAGTCTTCATTATCCAGTCAATGTAGTTTTTCACTCGTGTGTAGATCCCATAGGTCCCACATTCGGGACCCCAGGACACCAAGCCAGCTACATAGAATTTGGGTTTCTCTTGATTGGGGTGTTGTATAGCAAGGGCCCCACCACTGTCCCCATCACAGCTATCAACACCTCTCTCTCCTCCAGCACAGATCATGTTATCAGTAAAAACATAAGCATTTATATTCAATTGTGGATTTTTTACCTTCACCTCCTGGCACTTTGATAAAGAAGCAATGGGTAACTTTGCCCCTCTAAGTTTTACAACATTATCTCTTTGGTTTGTTCTGCCCCAGCCTGAGATCAATCCCAGGTCTCCCACTGAGGGGTCGTATTCTGAAGAGCTGCCTGGTAGGCAGATAAGGGAGACAGTGGGTCCCATTTTCACTGGGTCTTTAAGCTGTATCAGCGCAATGTCATTGTCAAAGTTTGTCCGTGTCTCTGGGTTCTCCAGGAAATTCCAACCCGGATGAATAATCACACGCTCAGCAGTGAGCATCTGGCCATTTTTCAGATGATTTTGAGTCACTAAGGAAGATCCAACATACATTACTGGGTTCAGGTTTTTCTCCACGACGTGGGCAGCTGTCAGCACCCAGTACTCATCAATGAGAGCCCCACCAGCCCGTGGGCTTGAAAAGTAGACTTGCCAGGGGAAACTTTGAATCTCTGCAAGAGATCCTCCAAATATCCTCTGTTTTTCTATGAAGGGCTCACTGGGAATGCCACAGGCTAAGAAGGAACAAGAACAAGGTGGGGAGAGAGCAGGAAATAGATTATTGGCCTCCTACAAGTCCTCTAATCATTTAAAAACCTGTCTGGCTTCAGATTTCTCAACCACCTCAGTACCTGACTCACTCTGAACGTACCTAAGGACCAAACATTCCGTGTTGCCAATTCTACCAGCAGGCTATGGGAGAGACTGGGTAAACCAAGGTAGTGTATAAACTACTACTGCTTTACACTATGGACAGCTTGACTCACCACCCCATAGATGTCACCCCAGGCTCAGCAGACAGTGCCCATCTGGGATCCAGGCTGGGAAACTCTTTCCTCATACAAGTAATGGGGGAGACAAGCATTCTACCTTCATCTGACGCCCGAGTCAAACACTTATCACCTTCTTTACTGAAGTCCTAGAGATCCATGCAAGTAGGGCAGAGAGGGGGTTCTCTTCTTTCATCTCATTCCCACTGACTATTTCTAGGTTTGATTACTTTGCCATTACCCAGTATAACTAAAAATGAATTTTATTTCAGATAAAGTTGGCTTACCTAAATCCCTCACTAGTCAGCCTGAATGGACTCTAAGTTAAGCATAACAGGACTCAGACCTGGATTCAAAGCCTACCCCTGCTCCTCACTAACTTTGTGAATTTGCACTTAATTCATTCATCTGTAACATGGGATTAATAATACCCACCTCAGAGGTTTGTTCAAGGACTTAAATGAGATAATAAATGTAATTAAGTCCATATCTTTCAGTAACACTGTTGTTACTACCAGGATCATTATCATCTTGGCTTTGCCTGAGAGCCTTCCTCTACTCAACTCTGATCTGTCTGCAACCCTTCATTTCTTTTATTGTCTCCACCTCACTGAGCTAGACTCTGGTGGGTCCAGATTGTTAAATCCTTTCCCTGGAGGATTACAGCTACTTTCAGAAGGTGACCCCACACACATGCACCGATGGCTATGGTTTCTACCCAAGCCTGAGCCCTGATTACCTGGAATACACGTTGGCAGCTCTGTGCCCAGCAACTCATTCACCCAGCTCCCATTTCCAGCGCAGCGATACTCCCCTGGAATAGCACAAGGGACATAGGACACACTTACCACCCATTCTTCTATCTTCTATTCCCCCCTTTCATTCAGAGCCTCCACTCCTCTGGGATTTGAGGAGGAGATTAGACCAAATAAATTAGAAAGAATCTTGAGAACATCTTCCAAACAATTTCTCTGACCTCTATCATGCCTAGGGGGAATAGGAAGATGAGACGACAGTCTCCAAAGCAGAAAGAAGAGCATTATGGTAGAGACTGGGAAAGTGCTTCAGGAGGAAAAAGAAAATTAATTAATTAATTTAATAAAAAGCAATGAAAATGGATATTGTAGGAGAAATTCCTGCCTAATTGTGAAACTAAGTTAAGTGACCTCTATGATTCACTATGAATGACCCTATGGAACCTACCCTGCCCCACATGAAAACTATATCTTTATCTTTAGAATAAGCCAAAAAGATGAACAGAGTCCATCTAATTTCCTTCATTTCTCTCCAAACTTCTTCAACTCCAAAAATTGTGCTATTCATCCACCCACACTCTCACCCTTTCTCTCTCTTTTCTCTAGTCAAAGAAACCTACCACTTTCTTCACTTTGCAGGTAGTAATATGGTTCCTCACAAGTGTAGCGAGCCATAGAACCAAATAAAGTATCTTCTGGTTCTTCAATTTTACCATGCTGAATGGGTTCAGGAGAGCCACAGTCCACAGCTATAAAAGGAAGGCAGGAGAGTGATGGCCAGGATAGCCACTTCTTCCCAAAAAGTCATCAGTTATTAGGCCAGTTCCATCCTCCCAGCCATGGCCCTCATTCTTCCCCACTACCATATCCATAAATACACCTGAAATGACTCTCACACCAGCCTCTCTATAGCCATGCTCTCCAACTGGCATTACTCACTCCTGCCAATTAGATAGCCCCTTAAAAGCTACAAGGAAGAATCTAGTTCTCAGTGGTTGGTAGAAGCCTCTGCAAAAGCCAGGAATGGACCATATGGTGCTATCAACTCTACCAATCCCACAGTCTCTTTTCTTGAAAGAGATCTGCCAGGCTGGCCTGGGACCAGATCAGGGCTGGTACTCCATGACTGGCTTCCCTTCAAAAACCCAACCCACTCTCACAAGCCTAAAGGGAAATCATACATTTGAATCTTGATGTGCTGATCTTTTGATTCTCTTTGGGAGGAAAAAAAAAAAAAGTCCCATTTTAAAGAGATACATACGTTGACAATCCAGTTTGGAATTACTCCACTTCCCATTGCTTTGACAAGTAGAGTAGAAATATGTCGAGCTACCACTTCCCTAGAGCATGATAGACATCACCGTTAATTTATAAGGAGGGATACGGAGAAATAAAATTAAAATGGAATCAATCTCTGGCCTTGGATCACAGAGAAATCCTCACCACAAAAATCTTGGGGATATCTTAGCAAAATAACACAAAGCACCCAGGTGTTGATACTAAAAGACAAATTCACCCCATCACATCATCTCCCTTTCCCCAGGAGGACTGTGGGCATAGAGATAATACCAGCCTGGCCAAGGAGCTCCATGACTTACAAAGACGGACTAAAGATTCTGAGCTGTTCTGTTTATGGACAAAAATGTTATACCTTGCTCAAACAAAAACATTCTGCAAACAATTGGATAATTCCATTATGCTCATCCTCACCTAGGGATCAGGAAGAAGCCCTTTACAGTACTTTACCTGTACAACTTCAAACCCCTCCAGACAGACTATCTTCACCACATCTCTGAACACATATTTTTCCTTCTGAGGCTCCCAAACAGAATTAGCAGAGACTTCTTGAGGACAGGGGATTGCTTGGAAAGGACAGAGAAAATAATTAGCCAAATAGTTGGATAATCTCTGTTCCATTTACATCACTCTCACACTTTATAAAATCATTCAGTCAGACTCAAACCTCATTCCTCACACTGCAAAATGTGGATGTCTAAAATAATGACATTACTAACTAGCCACCCCCAAGTTGTCTGCATTCACAGGTCCAGTTGACGTATTCCTAGATGTCGAGGCATTTCTAGCGACCACTGACAGGTTTAGATCTTGTTGAGGAAGGGGAGTAATCAGGATACTCCTCCATACAACAATCTACATTGATTTTACATTGTCCAGGGACTTGGTCACAACCGCGAAAGAATAACTTCCAGATTACTCACGATCTCCATGATAGCGAAGTTTCCAGCCCTTCTTTTGCCCTGTTTGGTCAGTTTGGAAGATGATATTAAGAGCATTACTCTTGGTTTCAATAGTTAGTGGCCCAGGGAATCCATTTCCACAGTAAGGACCAAATTGCTGGTCTCTTGTAACAAACTGAAAGGACACAAAATGATTAAATCAGAAGAGAGGAAGAACTGAAAGAAAGAGGTCAAGTCCAGCCAGTGTGGCTCACTGGTTGAGCATCAACCCATTCACCAAGAGGTCGCCAGTTCGATTCCCATTCAGGACACATGCCCAGGTTGTGGGCCCAATCTCCAGTGTGGGGCATGCAGGAAGCGGCCAATCAATGTTCTCTCTCATGGATGTTTCTATCTCTCTCTCTCCCTCTCCCTTCCTCTCTAAAATCAATAAAGAAAAAATATTTTTTTAAAAAGGAAAGAAAGAGGTAAAATGAAGAGGATAAAAGTAAGGGAGGTAGCCCTGGCCGGGTTTCCCGGTGGTTAGAGAGTCAGCCTGCAGACCAAAGGGTCTCGGGTTTGATTCCTGTCAAGGGCACATATCTCGGTTACAGTTCAGTCCCTGGCCCTGGTCCAGGTTGTGCAGGAGGCAACCAATCAATGTGTCTCTCTCACATCAATGTTTCTTCCTCTCTCCCTCCCTCCCTCCCTCCCACTTTACCTGAAGATAAATGAAAAAATATCCTCCAGTGAGGATTTTTTTTTTAAAAAGTAAAGGGGGTAAATTAAAATAATAAAAAATTAAAAGGTGGGGAAGAAAGGGCAGAAGGAAAGATGATTTATTTTTAAGGAGAAATCTCTCTGTGTGAGTTGGGAAGAGAATTAATTATCTATCACGCACAACTAAACTGTCAGGGCAGTTGCCCTCTGAATCAGCTGGTTCCACATCAAAATCTTCTCTCCGCACAGTCACCACCACTTGGAAACCCTGCTCCAACAGGATCTGATATTCACACCTTGAGTTCTCTGGGTATGAATCAGGATAATTGGGGCTTGTGATCTCCCCCATCAGTTCAGTGAATACATCCCCACTGCAATTGACTAAGAGAAAAAAAGAGAAAGAGGGAATCAAACATAGGCTCAAACGAAGAAGCTCCTGCCCTATTCCGTGACTCCTCTTATAAAATGACAGTCCCTCACTGGAGCCCATATGCAGCAATTACACATCCAATAAATATTAGTAGAGATACCTAGTGCCTATTGGGTTTCCATCACAGTGCTTATGATAGAGCCTTTCATAGCTATGACAGTCCCAGGTAGACTCTTCACAGGCATCTATCTCTCTTCTCCAATTAACTTACTTGATTCTGTAGCCTTGTCTTTCTCCACTCTTGTGCCCCTCCCCCCTCAGCTAAGAACAGATGCCAAATCAAGGCTGAAGCCAATCAAAATTGGAAGGGTAGATAAAGCCCTCACTGAATCCTCAAGGCATCCCAAATCTCAGGGACCATGCACCTGTCTCGATGCCAAACTTACCTCCACAATTTTTCATATCATCATGGAGGAAGTATTCTGAGGGGCAGGAGCAGAAGTAACCACCAATGAAGTTGTTGCAGAAGTGGCTACAAGGGGCATCTGCAAAGTCTGAGCACTCATTTATATCTACAAAAGTAGAGAAAGACCGAGGTCAAGGACAAAGACCTAGAAGGAAGAATGAGGTTAAACCCAAAACTATAAGGGCAAGAAAAAGTAAGAAAGGACTGTTACTTAAAGACATTCAACAAATCACATTTCAGGATGGTATTATTCTATATCGCTCTCCTGATATGTGATTCCAGAATCGTGCCTTAACATTGTACAGCTATAAGGGAGCTCTCACCACCAGAGAGCTCCCTTATAGAGCATTTCAGGGCTTTCTCACAAACAGAGCATTTCAGCTCCAAAGAAAGCACTCTGCAAGCTAAACATGATGATATGTCTTCTGCAGGGACAATTAGTAAATTTATTATTTTGTATGATGTTGGCACTTCTGTCAAATCGAATCCATAGTTTGGCTTTATGAGATGTTCTAACTTTATTTTAGGTATAGGAGCACACAGAATTTGAAGGTTTGTTTGCCATATACTGAACGGGTTTGAATGCCATACATTCTTCGTGTGAGTCCTGGCAAGTTATTTCACTTTCCTAGTCCTCATTTTTCTTCTCTCTAAATGGAGATAATAATACCTACCTGGAAGAGTTGAGGTGAAGATTAAATTAATATAGGTAGCCCTGGCCTGTTTGGCTCAGCAGTTAGAGCGTCGGCCTGCAGACCAGGTTCACTTCCCACTAAGGGCATGTACCTCCTTTGCAGTTTGTCCCCAGCCTCGGTTGGGGTCGTGTAGGTGGCAATCACTCAATTAGTCTCTCTTATATCTATGTTTCTCTGTCTCTCCTTCTCCCTCTCTCCCTCCTGCTCTATCTGAAGATAAATGCAAAAATGTCTTCGGGTGAGGATAAAAAAAAAATTAATATAGGTAAAATTCCTAATATAGTGCCCACTTCATAATGGTGCTCAATAAATTACTGTTTATTACCTATTGTTAACATTATTGTCATCACCACTAAGATATGCTTGAATTTCATAAAAGCAACTCATAGCCCTGGCCGGTTTGGCTCAGCAGTTAGAGCGTCGGCCTGTGGTCCAGAGAGACCCGGGTTCCGTTACCGCTAAGGGCATGTACCCCAGTTGCAGTTTGTCCCCGGCCCTAGTTGGGTCATGCGGGTGGCAGCCACTCGATGTGTCCCTTTCACATTGATGTTTCTCTCTCTCTCTCTCCCTCTCTCTCTCTCTCTCTCTCTCTCTCTCTCTCTCTCTTCCTCCCTCCTTCCCTCCCTCCCACTCTATCTGAACAATAAATGGAAAAATGTCCTTGGGTGAGGATTAAAAAATAAATAAAATAATAATAAAAGCAACTCATAGAGGGATCCGAGTCAAGTCAATGCTTCATAAGAGTTATAAACAGAATCTTTAGTCACTGCATTGTTCAATGTCTATTCTGCTTCTATTCTTTTAAGTGGATCAATGAGTCAATAGAGAAGGGTAAGCCTTACCTACGGCAACATAGTATGCAGCAAACCCAGTGAAACGCTCTTCATTGGAGAAGTCTGACTTAAAGATCACCTGGAGTCTATTGTATGGGACTTGGAACTCTTCCACGATTGGGGAGTTGGGATTCTTGCTGGTCCTCTGTCCACAGACTTTCCCTTCTTCAAGGTCCCCTGCCATTATCTAAGAGAAGAGTCAAAAAGAAGCTAGGAAAGCCCTGGCTGGTCCGGCTCAATGGTTAGAGTGTCAGCCTGCGGACCAATGAGTCTCGGGTTCGATTTCAGTCAAGGGTACATACCTCGGTTGTGGTTTGCCCCTGGCCGTGTTTGGAGTCATGCAGGAGGCAACCAGTGGATGTGTCTCTCTCATGTCAATGTCTCTCCCTCCCTCCCTCTCTCTCTCTCCCACTCTATCTGAACAAAAACTGGAAAAATATCCTCCGGTGATGATTCAAAAAAAAAGAAGCTAGGAAAGGGTAATATTTTGATACAGACATGAGAGAAAAAGGAACAGAGAGAGTAGAACACATACCACCTTTGGACTATTTGACTCTAGTTCACTGTACACCTGTGATACTCCCTCCTACATCCTCCTCATTTGATCCCCCCAGTCCTATCTTGTATGTGCTTATTATAATATACCTGCACTGAGTCATATGCGCAGTTCTCTGACAGCTCTAGGTCCAGATGGGTGAAGTAGAGATGGATCCCGTACCCTTCAGGAACTTCTATATCCCAAGATTTCTCTACCTCATTGGGGTATGCCTGAGGATAGTTAGGGGACAGGATCTCCCCATACATAGTAGGCTCAGCATAAACCCATGCCAAAAGGGAAAACAGGGCAATGCACCTGAAAAAATAAAAAAATTAAAAAAGCATATAAAGAGGTGTGTGACACAGGTACAGCAGACTAGTGCAAAGCTCCAACATTCGTCACAGGGTGAAGGGCAACAGCATGTGGAGGAGAATCTTACATTGGAATAAAGCAAAAAAAGCATAGATCAAACCAAAATACAGGCTTCAGATCTGAGGTGTCTTCTTGAGAAGATGAAGAGAATGAAGTCTGTACATATCTCTGTAGACTCGTGGTTACTTACCACATGGTTGGCAATTTGTTCATCCCTGGTGAGCAGCACATGTCTTGGACCTGGCTCTCAGCACCTCTGGACTTTGGAACTAAAGGGGTGGCGGGTCTGACTGTATTTGTCTAACAAACACAGGCACCTACTTTGGTGGTAGAGGATCACCTGGGTTCAGTGTCACCTTCATAAGAATAACACACAGGTTAAACAGAGCCATGTCACCAATCATCACCATATGACTCCTACTTTCTCATACCCTCCCTGGTTCTACTTCAACTAATTTTCTAGACTGAAACTAAATCTTATCCTTCTCCCATTGCTTCTCTGGACCTTATACTAATTTTTCTCCAAAAGAATGAGTACTTTCTCCCAGTTTTCTTCCTCTTCTGCTCTCCTTCTCACCCTCACTCCCCATCCCCACCCCCACTCCACCCATCTCGCTCCTGCCCTCACAGAACAATATTCCCATTTCCACTCATGTTTTCAAGAGTCTTTCCCCATCGTAACCATTCATCTTGGACATTTTCTCCCTCCTCTTTTGACAATACCCCCCTATCACTTCAAACCAGCTCTCTTACTATGTGTATTATTGCATGCATTTCTGTTGATGCCCCCAATGAGCACTGAGGGAGCAATGAGCTGCTTTCACTAGAGGAAGGCAGTGACCTTGGGAGAAGTGGTCTGAGACAGGTTGGGTGGGGAAGGAGAAGGGGGGCAGCTGAGTCACAAGAAACATAAAAGGAAAAGAAAGGTACTCCTTCAATTCTCCACATTAATTTCCCCCCTTTACTAAAAAGATAAGATATCTTCCTCCAGTTCCTAGAAAAGTTTTACCAAATGTAAACCCTGAAAACAGCGCTAGGCAATGAGGTGATGTGAGCATGGATGAGGTCAACCTAAGAGAATTAGGTTGTCTATATTTTGCCTTCTTTTTATTCTGCTCTTTCCAGCCCTCCATTTTTGCCCAAAACCTTCGTTTGTGACGTTTTCTGCCTTTCTTTTTTCCTCCATCAAAGCTCTGCTCTTCGTTTTCAAGGTTTTACCTTCAGAAGGTGATAGGAGCAAGTGGGTTAGTCCCTTCTCTTGCCAGTGGGCATGCTGGGCGACTCTGCCAGCTCCCAGGGAGAGAAGCACGGGGCTGCAGGAACCTCTGCCGGCCTCCCTGTCCTGGTTCTGTTGATGTGATTCTCTACCCCAGTGTGCATGTCTGAAATTCCCTGATCTAAACAGAGGGGGCTGGGAGACCATGACATAGGGAAAGGGTAACTCAGCCTTGATCTTGGAGCTCCCTCTGCTTTTGAAACAAGAACTGCATACTTCTCTCAGGCCTGAGATTCCTCTATCCAGGGCTACAGAGGGAGAAAGGAGGAATGGGGAATTTCACGGATTGCCCAATGCTCTTTTTTAGCCAAGGGGTGTGTTACAGAATTTTCGGGGAAGTCAGGTGATTTGTGGGAGAAGGAGGGGGTTAATACTGTGGGGGAAAAGTCAAACCCAGAAAGTCCAACCCTCCAGTTCTTTATGAATCATGAATTAAGGGAAAATAGTTATCAGTAATGTAGGTCTTCTCTGCCTTTAAAGCATATTTAATGGTTGAAACAATGACATATCTGGACTCAAGCTGGTATGGGATGATGCTTTTTTCCTCTTCCTAAAATCCCCTCTATGTCCAACCATCTAAATTATATTCACCAATCAAGCCCCAGTTCAAATATAATCCAGAGTCTCTTATCCATAATCCTTGAGTACAGATACGTTTCCAAATTCAGAATTTTAAGATTTTTGGAAAGTGCAGTACATGGACTCAATATTAGGTAACACTTTTTCCTCTCCCTCCCCTCGAGGGGCCTGGATAACACACCATTATCAAACATTAATATTTCTGCAGCTAAACAGATTGATCTTCACAGTAAGTGGAATAACTAAAATTATAACTTAGTTATAATTATATATTATATTTATAAATTACTTAGAATTATAAATTACGTGTTTCACATCAGTTCAATTTTGCTGCCAAATGAGTGCTGGTGCCAAACTTAGAGAGAGAGAGAGAGAGAGAGAGAGCGCCCCCCTGGCTGGTTTGGCTCAGCGGTGAAAGCGTCAGCCCGCAGATCAGAGAGTCCCGGGTTCGGTTCCAGCTAAGAGCATGTACCTCAGTTGCAATTTGTTCCCAGCCCCGGTTGGGGTCCTGTGGGTTGCGACCAGTTGATGTGTCTCTCTCACATGATGTTTCTCTCCCCCCACCCCACTCTATCTGAAGATAAATGCAAAAAAAAACCCAAACTTTGTTTTCACAGCCTTTTGGAATTTAGAATTGCAAGTAAGGGACTAAGGGCCTGTACAGTATCTTCACAAACCCTCCCAGATCTCCCAGCTCTCCCAGATCTCCCAGATCTCCTTTATGTCCCTTATCACTTTCTACCCCTATCTTTTTTTTATCTTCACCCGAGGACACTTTCACATTTATCTTTAGATAGAGCGGGAGGGAGAGAGGAGGGAAGAGAGAGAGAAACATCAGTGTGAGAGAAACACATTGACTGGTCGCCACCCACACGACTCTAACCGGGGCCAGGGACAAACTGCAACTGAGGTACATGCCCTTAGCGGGAACGGAACCCGGGACTCTCTGGTCTGCGGGCTGATGCTCTAACCACTGAGCCAAACCGGCCAGGGCTCTACCACTATCTTAATGACTGCATTCCAATGAATCTACAATTTCATCAAATGAAGATCCTCCCTTATTTTACATACCACTAGGAATAAAAAAAGCTGCCAATTACCCTGGCCAGGTGGCTTAGTTGGATGGAGTGTCAAAAGGTTGTGGGTTCAATTACTGGTCATGTATATACCTAGGTTGCGGGTTTGACCTCCGCCCCCTGGTTGGGACATGTACGGGAGACAGCTGATCAATGTTTTTCTCTCTCTCTTTCTCCCTTCCTCTCTCTCCAAAATCAATAAAAACGTATCCTCAGGTGAGGATTTTTTTTTAAGTTGCCAATTAAATTATGGTATACCATTGATTGTATGATGCATCCTGATTTCAGAAGTGTTAAAATGGGGAATGGGGGACCATGAGCCCTGAAATACATGAAGCATGGTGTTTGTGTTCTGGTTAACTCAGCACTGGGCCTGGAGTCAGAGGACAGGTTCAAGTCCCATCTCTGACACTCACCAGTGGTGACATTTTGGGCTCATAGCCTAACTTCTTAGTGTCTTCAGTTATAAAATAAAGATAATATTAGTTCTGCCTACCTTATATGGCTGTCAAAAAGGGTCTGATAAAACAATCAGAGTAAAAGGGCTTTGCAAACTATGATACCAAATAAATGTAAACGTTATGAAGAAAAGAATTATGAGCCCATCAGGTCTCTGCAGGCAGATTCTGAGTCTGATTCATCTTTGTATTCCCACCATGACTAGCAGTGTCATTCGTATAATAGATGGACAGATGATCACCTGTTGTTCCTTTGGCTGCCTAGCATTTGAACGTCCTCCAAGCCCACCACCCAAGAGAGAAGGTGTAAGTGCAGAAAGCCTGTCCCTCACCACTCTAGCAGCTCTGGAACAGCCCATGCACTCACACTTCATTCATTAGAGACATCTGCCTAGGCTTTGAATCCAGAGAGAGTGATGCCAAGAATCAGGGTCTATAGAATCTCTGAGGACAGTGATGACTGCAGCAAGATGGAGGAGGAGGTTGTGCTCGCAAGCAGCATCCAGCATCCAGCCCCAGTGAATAAATATCACAAGCTGAACTGCCTAGGACATGGCCACTGCAATGACAGCAGAGCAGCCATTGCTCCTGCTGTGAAGCTTCCGTGCTTGGCTCTCCTGCTCTTGGAATTTCTGTAAGCAATCCAGGGTACTTTTATTTATTTATTTAATTTTATTATTTTTTTGGTTCATGCCCCTAGTGGGAACCGAACCCGGGACTCTCTGGTCTGCAGGCCAACGCACCAACAGCTGAGTCAAACCGGCCAGGGCCAGGGTACCTTTAATAAATTCCTCTTCTGCTAAAATCTACCAGAGTTGGTTTCTGTTGCTTACAACTAAGAGCAATTGCTGAGTACCTGAGAAATGAATGATTGAATAAATGAGCCAAGGTAAATTCAGATTATTTACTAACTGTTTTTAGCTATGTGGCCTAAGGAGTTTACGTAACCCCTCTAAGCTCCAGCTTCATCATGTGTAAAATGGAAATATCACCTACCTCAGACAGAGCTATCATCGTCAGGGCCTGTTGTGACCATGATTAAATGAGATGATGTATGCTAAGCATTCAGCATATATCTGGTACTCAGCAAGCCTTTAATAAATAAACAAAAACTTCATCTCCAAATGCCAACAGTGGCAATAGCAGCATCATTCTTTTCAAGGGCTTGGGAGCATGCTTCAATATACAGCAAGAAAATAGAGAGCATCTTACCACGTTGTCCAGGATTCCTCCTCCTTTTACTGCTGAATCTAACACTTGCAAGAAAAATTCATGACCCACTTACCTTCATGTGTGTTTTGTCTTCTCTTCTTCAATATTGCCATCCAAGTGAAATATCGTACTTTTCTCTCTAAAGCTCAAGGAGACAACAAATCACACATGTAATGGCATGTCTGGGCCTCCACTTCCTTTCCCAGTTCAGCAAGAACTCAAGCCAAAACTTCTAATAGTGTGTAAAAAAATCTCAACCAAGATTAGAAGTCGGAGGGCCTGTAGGGGGAGCTCTCACACCCTAAAGGAAGAACTCTATAACAGTCCTCCTAACTTCTCTTCCTTATTTATTTTCTTTTTTTAATCCTCAATCGAGGATATTTTTCTATTTATCTTCAGATAGCATGGAAGGGAGAGAGAGGGAGAGAGAGAAACATCAATGTTGCCTCTCGCCACATGACCCCTACCAGGGCCAGGTACAAACTGCAAAGAAAGGTTCGTGTCCTTGACTAGAATTGAATCCATGACTCAATGGTCCACTAGCAGATGTTCTAACCCCTTAGAAAACCGGCCAGGGCCTTCTCTTCCTTTCTATAAAAAATGTCCTAGCCCTGGCCAGTTTGGCTCAGCGTTAGAAATCGGCCTGCCGACCAATAGGGTCTTGGATCTGGTCAAAGGCACATACCTGGGTTGCAGGTTTCCCTGGATGAGACCCGGGCTGTGGGGAGGCAACCAACTGATGTGTCTCTCTCAATATCAGTGTTCCTCTCACTCTCTCTTTCTCTTGCTCGCTCTCTCTCTCCCTCCCTTCCACTCTCTCTAAAAAATAAAAAAATCAATGGGAAAAAAAATGTTTTCCTCTTTGTTGTTCTAGCAAACTTGCACATGACTCGCCAGGTCCTCATGTTCCCAACTGCAAGTCTCTCTTTTTTCCCAAATAAACTGTTTTTACTGGAGGAATAGCTACCTGACTTTAAGTTCAATTTCAAGTGATATCCTTGAAAGAGCAGGGGCCGCCCTGGATGGTTTGGCTCAGCGGTTAGAGCATCGGCCCGCAGACCAGAGAGCCCCAGGTTCGGTTCCTGCTGAGGGCATGTACCTAGGTTGCAGTTTGTCCCCGGCCCCGGTTGGGGCCCTGTAAGTGGCGACCAGTCTATGTGTGTCTCTCTCACATCGATGTTTCTCTCTCTCTCTTCCTCCCTCTCTCCCTCCTGCTCTATCTGAAGATAAATGTAAAAAGTGTCCTCAGGTGAGGATAAAAAAAAAAAGAAAGAACAGGAGCCATGTTAGATAATCTTCTCAGTATTGCAGGGATTCATAAAAACAACGCTGCTTATTGTCACCCTCAGGGTCCTCTGAACCCAGCTGATGTTATAATGCTGATATACAAAGCAGAAATTAGAATCTTACATGTTAATATTAAATGTAACTAATACACATGTACATGATATGATTGGACATTTTAGAAAATAATCAATAATGTTCCACGGAGTCATAATTATCATATTCACAATGTTAGGTCTCTGAGGGGGTGAATAACAGAATCCCTCTTCCCGGTCCAAGTTCTAGAGAAACAGAAATAAAACAAAAACAGCAAATACAGATCAAAGTATTCTCTTTAATAGCAATAAAAGTTGCCTTGGCAGGTTTTGCTCAGCGGTTAGAGCATCGGCCTGTGGACCAGAGAGTCCCGGATTTGGTTCCTGCTAAGGGCACACACCTTGGTTGCAGCTTGTACCCGGAACCAGTTGGGGTTTTGCGGGTAGCAGCCACTTGTTGTGTCTCTCTCACATCGATGTTTCTCTCTCTCTCTCCCTCCCACTTTATCTGAAGATAAATACAAAAAATAAAAAGTAAATAAATAAACAGAATTACCTTTCTAGATACAGGCAACAGTAGACCAGGAGAAACCTGCCAGAGAACATACTCTTCCTGTGGACAGCTCACACCCCCAAGGAAGAAGAGCCAAGCCAAGCAAGACATGCCCAGTTATTTTTTTCCATTTACCAGTCAGTTAAGTCACTCCACCTCCCCAGGGCAAAGTGAGTGACAAAATGGAGCGTGACCAGAAGAGTCATATCATGGAGCTCTCTCCATCAGGACAAATCTCTCAGAGGTAGTAGAAACATTTCCCCCCTAACATTCCCAAGGTCTTTCTTCTTTTTTTTTGTACGTGCCCCTAGTGGGAACTGAACCCGGGACTCTCTGGTCCGCAGGCCGACGCTCCAACCACTGGGCCAAACTGGCCAGGGCAAGGTCTTTCTTCTTTAACCTGTTAGGTTTGACAAGCCTATAATCAACCAGGAATGTGGCTGCTGGGGGAAGAGATCAGGAATCTAACTAGGGCAGTCTGTTCACCCAATGACAACCACTGTTCCTCTCTAGTGTCCTCCAATATCGCTGGTTTCAGAAGCATCAATAAATATATCACCTTGAAATTCACCCAGTAATCGTTTGAGAATTTTTCACTCTCACACCTATGAACAAGCCACGTGAATTCAAGGTCAGACTTTCCAATTTCCTCCTAGGCCCTTAATGTAGAATGGAATTTGCCAATTAGCACTTCCTACCTTAACCAGGTACTCACAAATGAAAGCTAGACTTTCCCTAGTGCTCTGTAACACAGGCAAAACTCAGGCTTCCTTGCAGGAGGTAGTCCTATAAAGAAATATTGGGGGCAAGAAGAATTCCACCCCTACAACATACTGTATACCAAGATTATTATCAAAGACTCTATCTATAAACAATGTTTGCCAAAATACCCATTCATTTATTATTCAGGAAAGCTAAAGAGTGATAGTTTTTTTAATCTACTTTTTTGATGAAAAACAGAAGAAATAACACGAATGTAGAGGGGAAAAAAAAAAAGATAAGTGTGGGAAAGGAACAGTAATTACTATAGTCTGAATATTAGTGTCCTCCCCAAATTCACCTTAGAATCCTAACACCCAATGTAAGGCATAAGAAAGTGAGGTCTGCCCTGGACAGTTTGGCTCAGTGGTTGGGCGTCGGCCTGCGGACCAGAGAGTCCCAGGTTCGGTTCCCACTAGGGGCACGCACCACAAATAAATAAATAAATAAATAAATAAATAAATAAATAAATAAATAAATAAATAGAAAGTGAGGTCTTTGGGAAGTGATTAGGTCATAAGAGTAGCACTCTTATCAATGGGATTAGTGCTCTTATACAAGAGGTCCCACCGAGCCATTCTGGCACATAAGAATACAACTAGAACTTTGTGACCAGAAAGAGGGCCCTCATCTGACCATGCTGACACATCTAACCATGCTGACACCCTGATTTCAAACTACCAGTGTCCAGAACCGTGAAATACATTTCTGTTGTTTATAAGCTACCCAGTCCGTGGTAGTTTGTTATAACAACCCAAATGGACAAAGACAGTGACAAAGTAAAGCCAATTTGAGGGACTACTTTTCTCCATGCCAAACTGAATAATTAAAGGTAAATGTACTATGGCTTATAAAGTACAAAGCACTATTTTAGGCGATAAGTGGTTTGCAAAAATGATAGGATCAGAGCCATTGTAAGAGGTAGAGAAAGTTAAGCAACATGACAAAATAACAAAGGGCTTGGGCATTAAAAGGAGAAAAATATTGCATCTGACTAAGGAGAAATCAGAAGGGTTATATGGAAAAAATGAGATTTGAAATAGGACTTGAATGGCTAGCATTTCAACAGTGATCTTACTCTTCCCCTTTTCTGTTAATGACCCTACCATTTTCCCAGCCACCCAGGTTCAAAAGTTTAGTTATCTTTCACTCTTCCTCTTCTCTGCCCCCAATCCTCCCTGAGACTGCTTGATTCTATCTTTTGATGACTTTCACATCCACTCCTGCAAGTCAGAGCCTCATTACATCTCATCTGGATAGACTGCCTTCAAACTTCTCCCCTTCCTCCTCTGTCATCATCCCTAAATCTATCCTATAAACTGAAAAATTAATCTTCCTTAATGACAACTCTAATTTCATTTTTAAAACTTTAATGTCTGTCCTTTGTCTTCAGAATTAGATGTGGAAGGTAGTTCCTCCAAATATTTTACTCCTCTCAAACAAAGCATCCTTTCTCTGATGAGAGCTTATTGAAACCTCCAATATTGCTATGCTAAATTAGTCATTCATCTGACAAACACCTATTGAATGCCTACTATATGCTGGGGATCCAAACACAAATAAGAATTCCCAATATCCTCAGGGGGCTTACTTTCTAGTAGGAGAGGAAGACAAAATTATGTGAAAGTCCTATGATAGCAGTTGTAGTAGTTTTTAAACATGCCCCAAAATTCTTGATTCCTATGTTCACACCCCCTGAATGTGGCTGAGGGCTTGTGACTGCTGTAACAAAAGAGGATATAGTGAAAGTGACTCTGCATGACTTCCAAAGCTAGGTTAGAAAAGACTATCCTGGCCCTGGCCGGTCTGGCTCAGAGGTTAGAGCGTCGGCCTGCAGACCAGGGAGTCCCGGGTTCAGTTCCCACCAGGGCCACGTACCTCGGTTGGAGTTTGTCCCCAGCCCCAGTTGGGGTCGTGTGAGTGTCAACCAGTCGATGTGTCTCTCTCACATCGATGTTTCTCTCTTCTCTTTCTCCCTTTCTTCCTCCCACTCTATCTGAAGATAGATGCAAAAATTTCCCGGGTAAGGATAAAAAAAAGAAAAGAAAAGACTATCCTGCACCCACCCAGTTCTCACGGCACACTCACTCTCAGAACCCAGCTGCCATGCTGTGGAGAAGCCCAGGCCACATGGAGAAGCTACATGTGGGTGTCCTGGCTGAGCCCGCTGAGGTTGCAGCTGTCAATGAGTATCAACCTCAACACCAGGTATATGACTGAGGAAGCTTCCGTGATGAGTCCAGCCCCATCTGACTGCAACAGCATGACACCATCCCCAAGTGAGAACTGTATAGCTGAGCCCAGTGAACACCCAGAACCATGAGAAATAATATAAGAAAAAAAATGAGTATTTCTGTTTTAACTCAGTAAGTTTTGAAGTGATTTCATTATTCGATTATAGGTATCTGGAACAGCAGTAAAAATGGGATGTTAGAGGAATGCACAACAAGTATTCTTATCCCAGATTTGGGTGGAGGAAGAGAGCAGGGAGATTTCCTGGAAAAAATAACTCCTGAGTTCTGCAAGCATCTCTGAGCCAGGTCCACCCATCCTCAGAGAATTCCACTGCTTCATGATTTCCACAGGAAGCTGAGCAGACTCCCCCACTACCCAACCCAATAGGTAGCCTGTCTCTCCAGTGAAATACTCAGGTGTGAGACTCTGGTCTTGAGCTCAAATACACACTTTGTACCATCTCACTCTCTTAACAACTCTCCGGGAAAAGCTGTGGTCTTTTTGAAATTTATTGTCTGAGTCAGAGCACTTTAAGATCACTTTATAGGAAGCCCATTTCCTGCTACCGTTCCTAAAGCTCTATAAGCTGTATTCATGTTTCCTTTCCTTTTGAAAATCCTGCCAAGTTCCCTAAGTCAGCCTAAGACATCTCTTCAACTTCAGCTTCTTCATAACTAACTAGTACCTTCAAAACTGCAATAATCGCCCTGGCCAGTTTGGCTCAGCGGTTAGAGCGTCGGCCTGTGGTCCAGAGAGACCCGGGTTCGGTTCCCACTAAGGGCACGTACCTTGGTTGCAGTTTGTCCCTGGCCCTGGTTGGGTCGTGTGGGTGGCAACCACTTGATGTGTCCCTTTCACATCGATCTTTCTTTCTCTCTCTCTCCCTCCCACTCTACCTGAACAAAAATATCGAAAAATGTCCTCAGGTGAGGATAAAAAAAAAAAAAAAAAAAAAAAAACTGCAATAATCTCTAAGCCTCCATTTTCATTCCCAAACATCCATGTTACAGGTACAGTCATCCCTCGGTATCAGCAGGGGATTGGTTCCAGGACCCGGTGCAGATAACAAAATCCAATGGTGCTTAAGTCCCTTAAATAAAATGGCATAGTATTTGCACATAACTTCCTATTACATTAACATTCCTATTTTAAATCATCTCTAGATTACTTATGATATCTAATACAATGTAAATGCTATGTAAATAGTTGTTACATTGTATTATTTAGGAATCACCTTTTTGGAATTTTTTTTTAATGTTTTTTTCTTTATTGATATTGTTTAGAGAGATAAGAAGGGAGAGGGAGAGAGAGATAGAAACATCGATGAGAGAGAACATCGATTGGCCACCTCCTGCATGCCCCCACAGGGGATTTGGCCCACAACCTGGGCATGTGCCCTGACCAGGAATCAAACTGGCTATCTCTTGGTGCATGGGTCAACACTCAACCACTGAGCCACAGCGGCCGGACTTTTTTTTAAAAATATTTTTGATCCGCAGATGTGGAACCCGCAGAGGACTGACTATATATATAATAGCAGGACATGTAAAAGTCTTAGCTGTGTTAATTGAGTAAGCTAATGCAATAACAAATACATTTTTTAAATATTTTGGTTAGAACACAGTGGAAATTTAGGTGTGGTACACATAACTTGTACTCATATTCCATTGGCTAGAACTCAACCACAAGGTCACACCTAACTGCAAGGTAGTGCTCAGAAAATGAGGAAGTTAGGATGAGAGCAGCTAGAAATCTCTGCCACAACCCCCCAAATATAACCCATGTTTCCCCAAGCTGTGGATACAAATGGGGTCCCATTAATATTTCCCTGGCTCATCCCCTCTACCCATTTACACCAGATCTCTAGCTCCTTATTCATAAACATTCTTGTCTATTACCTGGCAAATTCCTCACTGTACTGTGGGGACTGTAACATCTTCTGGAAGGAACCTCCTGCTGTTACACTGAAGCCCTAAAATTGCACAGTAATGTAAATTGAGGAAAGTAACGCAGAGAAGAAAATACTTCCTTCCGTCTTTCTGGCTATTCCTTTTTGGGAGTACCAAGGCAATGTCTTACAGAGTTTTCTGTGGCATAATTCCTGCTTTTTTTATTTTATTTTGTTACAGATAGCCTCCTGGATCCAGATATTAATTCATCAGCCCTGAGACAAAATTCAACTTGAGTGACATTCACTGGGCAGTAATAAGAATTCAGTCAGTCAGTCAAT